GCAGGCGAGAGTGATCAGGGATTGGAATGGGCTGCCCGGGGAGGTGGTGGATTCACCGTTCCTGGAGGTTTTCAAAATGAGACTGGATATGGCACTTAGTTAAGGCTTTTCTAGTAAACATGGTAGGGTTGGACTTAATGATCTGGGTGGTCTTTTCCAACCTGGTTGATTCTATGATTTGTGGCAGATAGCAATCCATATAATCTCCTTTTGCTATTAATTTTCAAAGTGGCTTTTGACTCTATACCTCACATATCCTTTTGCCAAACTCTTCCCCTAAGTCCTTTAGCCCTTAAGTTTCTCACATTCCTGTCATGGCAGTTAAGAGAGAGTATCAAGGGCATTTCCAGAGTTCAGCACAGAAACAGGCCAAGTGTTATGGTGCTGATATGATTCAAAATGTTCATTAGGAAAATGCAGTGTAGTAGAAGTATAACAAAGCAAAGTTTTGGCACAAATCTTCTCCTTTAAGGCATCTACAATTGCTGCTACAGTCTCAGTTTGGCAGTTAGTGGACGTCTCATCTGGGCCAGGTAATGCACCAGGGAGATACCATCAGGAGATACGGAAAGTTGTTTCTACCTTCATATTGATTAGTGTCTCATTCCTTTGTCCAACGGCACTGGTAGTTCAGAAAATTCATACCAGGATATGTTGCTAAAGAAGCCAATGTGGGATCCTGCTTCTGACAGAATTATATCTGGTCCTTTAGATGAAAGGAAACAAACCCCATGTAGGCTAACTGTCAAAACTGAAATTCAGTGCTAATGTAGGAGAAGAAAAATCTACCAAGTTCCAGCTCTCAGCTCTCCTTCTTGCACCCTAAACCACAGCTGGTCATAGAAGCCTGTTTGAATCCAGGAATGAATGGAGTTTGCTACTCCCCAGTTTTACTTTGATCTCTCTTACCCTGATGTTTCAGTGGCAGTTGTACATGGAGCCAGTCCTACTCAGTACTGTTGGTGTTGAGTACCATAATCATTAGTTTAATTAGTGTATTGAGACAGTCAATGGCTTTTTTGTTTATTCACTTTATTACCAGGGTCTTTTCACCTTATTCACTTGATGTTTGATGACTACGTATTGTACCTGCTAGAATCACTCCATTGTCAGGAGAAAGCTAATGAGCTCATGAGGGCAATGAAAGGAGAAGGAAGCACAGGTAAGTATGAGTAAAAGATTCAACATTTGCTGTTTTATTCCACTGGTTTCTCTTTTAGGATGTTTTTCTATCCTTATCTAACCAAGTGAGGCTTATCTAGGAGCAAAGTGGTTTTCAACTCTATCATGATGTGAAGTAAATATTTTGGGAGGTGTCCCTGGTTAATACATTCTGAAAGAGACCTGCCTGCTTTGTGATGTCACTCTGGATGTCTGGAACACCATTCCTAAGCACCCACTTGGTGTTTCAGTAAGAAATTTTTGAACCTTAGTTAATCTGTTTAAGCCACCATCACATTTCAGTGGACCCAGTGCTAATAAATCCACTGGTATGAGTGGATTTGTACCAGTCTAAATAAGAGAAAGAGATAGCAGAAGTGAGAAGAGAGAAACCCCAAAGCTATTGTTTCTGGTACACTTATGTTCTGAGTGCCTGTACAGAAGGAAATTCTGAATCCTGCTTCACTCTACACTGCCTTGCCAGAACAGGAGCAAGCAGAGATTACCTTTAGCCTTTCTACTCTGGGCAGCCCCTTGTAATGAGTGGTCCTCAGTGATCTTTCCTCCTTGCATCTCCCATTTTGGCAAGTTAAGCCTCTCTGTCACCTTTGGAAAGTTTCATTTTCCATTTCAGCTGTGGCTCAATTTGTCACACTGTAGTTTTATGAAAATATGAATATTTCAGTGGTTAGGGTAATGTCTTCTATGCGTTAAAAAGCTTGAATTTAATTTGTTTTGACAAACAAGCCGCTTATCCTTGCATATTTTCCACATACCTTTAGCAGCTATGCAACAGGAAAAACAGCACTTTCCTTTCAGAGGTCTTATGAAGGTACTCTGAAGGTTGTAATGCTGAATGTTATAGATTTACTTCAGTGAAAGATTTGTGATTCCTGCCATGCATTTCTTGAAATACACTCTGCAGAACTTCACTGCTTGCACTGATTTCTCAATGTTTCTTGGGTCTAGCTATGTCTGATGATTTCTCTCTCCTGCAGCAGAAATAAGAGAAGAAATCATTCTGAGTGAAGCAGCTCCTCCAACTCCCTCCCCAGCACCATTCTCCCCAGCTAAATCTGCCACCTCAGTGGAAGTGCCCTCTGCTCCATCACCCACCAGCAACCAGTCCCCAGAATATGGTGGCATAACAGCTACTACAGGTAGGTAGGCTTATGGATCTGTTTGGAGCTGGCTTTTACACTTGGTCACCTGAAACTGAGCCTGAGAACGGAATGTGTTGGCTTACAAGCGATGAGAAGCCTCCCAAATATGCAATCTTTTCTCACTGTATGCAAATGTGATGTGCAGTCTATCAGGAAAAAGTTCTGATGTTTGGATGTTTTGTACATCTTGAAGGAAATGTGCCACATATTTTAGGTTCAGTGAGGTTTTCAAGATTGCTAGTGGGTAAAGTGGGAATTGGGTATCTTTCTAACACCCAAATATGTTTAAATAGCTGTGCAAGTTTCATTTGGGAATGCTTTACATATTGCTGATAACTTTAATCTGTCAGTGTTAGAGTCTAGGAATTACATTTCTGAAGCCTAATTTCAGTTTTATACATTTTTATGGCAACTGTAGAGGTTTCTGTATTCTGGTGGGCCCACATATTTTAAAAAGGCTTGACAGGCTTGAGAGGTGGCCAGTGCAAACCTCATGAAGTTTAACAAAATGAAGTGCAAGGTCATACATCTGGGCCATGGCAACCCCAGACACAGCTACAGGTTGGGTGGGGAAGTCATTGAAACCAGCAGTGAGGAGAAAGACTTGGGAGTGACAGTGGATGAGAAGCTCCACATGAGCTGCAGTGTGAGCTCAGCCCAGAAAGCCAATGGAATCCTGGGCTGCATCCAAAGGAGTGTGGGCAGCAGGTCAAAAGAGGTGATGCTTTCTCTCTGCTCTGCTCTTGTGAGACCCACCTGGAATACTGCACACAGTTTTGGTGTCCTCAATGTAAGAAGGACATGGAACTGTTGGAGCAAGTCCAGAGGAGGAAAAGGTTTTTTCCTGTGAGGGTGGTGAGACACTGGCACAGGTTGCCCAGGGAAGTAGTGGATGCCCCAACCCTGGCAGTGTTCAGCTCCAGGCTGGATGAGGCCTTGAGCAACCTGGTAGGAGGGGAGGTGTCCCTGCCCAGGGGAGGGGATTGGGACTAGATGATCTGTAAGGTCCATTCCAACCCCTAAATTCTATGATTCTGTGATTCTATAAGGGTGAGCTTCAACTTGTAGGTAGGTTTGACAGCAAATCAAATACAACTAGTTTATTTGGGCAACCATCCTCTGTTCTCTGATGTAAAACTCATCACCTTTTGGATGTGGACAGGGCACTGCCCAGGGGAGGGGATTGGGACTAGATGATCTGTAAGGTCCATTCCAACCCCTAAATTCTATGATTCTGTGATTCTATAAGGGTGAGCTTCAACTTGTAGGTAGGTTTGACAGCAAATCAAATACAACTAGTTTATTTGGGCAACCATCCTCTGTTCTCTGATGTAAAACTCATCACCTTTTGGATGTGGACAGGGCAGTCTGTCTGTCTGACCAAGAGACAGTGTTTTCTTAACTCATGGAAAGAAAGGCAGAAGTGGAAGTGACTTTCAGAAGGCATTTCAGACAGTGAAATTCTAACTTTCCTGCTTGTCAGTGAAAAGGGTGTATAGTCATAATGTGGAAACTATCACTTTTGTGATGTACTAGAAGAGTTGCAAAATATTCTTGTATGTCATAAAGTGATGATTTACCACACTAGAGAATTTGGCAGTGGCTAAAGAACTAATAAATCTTCCTGGAAAATGTTTTTCAGGTTTTCAAAGGCACCACAGGGAAGCACAATGCATAGTTGTGGTGGAAAGAGATTTGAAAATATTTGCCCCTACATCACAACTTAAGGTTTTCTCACTGTTGGAGATAATACAATATTAAGGAGGGGAAATAGGACAGTTAGACAAGAGACCCGTGATCACTAGACATGGCAGGTGAGCGCCCAGCTTTAGATCAGGCAGTGGTGGAGGTGGTATGTATCTCTGGCTCTGGTTGAAACATTGATTTTGCAGGTCCCTTGATCTATAGGCATCGTGGCCCAGTGGGATCACTGTCATGTTGGAACCAGAACTTAGTATTATGCAGGGCTGCACCCAGAAGTGAAAGGCTGAAAAGAAGGGAACTGTGAGTTCTTCAGGGACATTGACAGGAATGGAGGTTTGAGGGCCTTGTGTTTAGGCTGCAGAGACCTCAGCTCTGTGTGACTATCGTAACAGTTAGCCCAAAGCTTACTCCATATTCCTCTAACAGATTATTTCTCAGCTAGCTAAAATTCCACCTTCAGCTTATGTGGCTTAGGCACAGATCTAGGCAGGCCTGGGAACTATGTAGATCTTAGCTATCCCTCCTGAATTCCACCAGTAATGCAAGCGAATGGACTCACAGAAACATTACAAATGCAATTGCTTTCTGTTTTTATCTAGTTCATTATTTTATTACAGTCTGGTTTATTCTCCCCTCTAATTTTTTTATAGAATCAAGACTGTTTTTGGGATCATCTAGTTCCAAACCCCCTGCCTTGGGCAGGGGCACCATTCACCAGCCCAGGTTGCTGAGAGCCCCATTCAGACTGGCCTTGAACACTTCCAGTGTTGGGGCATCCACAACTTCTCTGGGCAACCTGTTCCAGTGTCTCACTATCCTCACAGGGAAGAATTTTTTCCTACTATCTAATGAAACCTACTCTCTTTCAGTCTGAAGCCATTCCCCCTTGTCCTGTCGCTACATGTCCTTGTAAAAAGTCCCTCTCGGTCTTTCTTGTAGCCTCCCTTCAGGTACTGGAAAGCTGCAATTAGGTCACCTCAAAGCCTTTTCTTTTCCAGGCTGAACAATCCCAATTCTTTCAGCCTTTCCTCATAGCAGAGCTGCTCCATCCCTCTAATCAACTTGGTCACTCTCATCTGGACTCAGTCCAATAGGTCAATGTCCTTCCTGTGCTGGGAACCCCAGGGCTGAATGCAGAACTCCAGGGGGGTCTCATCAGAGTGGACTAGAAGGGCAGAATCTCCTCCCTCTTCCTCCTGGCCACACTGCTTTGGATGCAGCCCAGGATATGGTTGGCTTTCTGGGCTGCATATTGCTGGCTCGTGTGCAGTTTTTCATTCAGTAGAAATCTCCAAGTCCTTCTTGGCAGGGCTGCTCTTCATCCCTTCATCCCCCAGCCTGTACTGATATCAGGGGTTGCCCTGACCCAGGTGCAGCACCTCACATTTGTTCTTATTATATACCTCATGAGATTCTCACGGGCCCACTCCTTGAGCTTGTCCAGGTCCCTCTGGATGGCACCCTGTCCTTCAGGGTGCACCACTCTGTATGGTGTTGTCTGCAAACTTGCTGAGGGTGCACTCGAACCCTCTGTCTGTGTCATTAACGAAGATATGAAATAACACTGGTCCCAGTACAGACCCCAGAGGGTCACCACTTGTTTCTGATATCCATCAGGACTCTTTGAGACATTGGCCACTACCCTCTGGATATGAGTGTCCAACCACTTTCTTATCCATCTAAGAGTTCACTCATCAAATCCATCTCTCTCCAATTTAGAGAGAAGGATGTTGTGGGGGACCATGTCAAAGCCTTTACAGAAGTCCAGATGTAAGACATCTGTAGCCCTTCCTGTTTCCACTGATGTAGTCACTCCATCATAGAATGCCACTAGATTGGTCAGGCAGGACATAGCCTTGCGGAAGCTGATCGCCTCCCTGCCTTAGCAAAGCTTTTAGGAGGATCTGTTCCATGATCTTCCCAGGCAAAAAGTGAAGGCTGACAGGTCAGTAGTTCCCAGGGTCCTCCTTTCTACCCTCTTCAAAGATGGGTACAGTATTTACCTTTTCCACCTGGGACTCCACCTGACTGCCATGACTTTTCAAATATCATGGAGAGTGGCTTGGCAACTACATCAGCCAATTCCCTTAGGACTCTGAGATGCATCTCACTGGGTCTTAGGCACACTGAGGTTCCTCAGGTGGTCTTGAGCCTGATCTTTACTTACAAATGTAAGTATGTCCTGGTAAGGCTAAAGTCTGCTAGTGTGAAGTCTCAAGACAGAAACAGGATAGTTTGGGGACTAGCAGAACTTACTCCCACAGTATGGGCAGATTTGATGTAGTTGTTCCCATAGCAGAACTTCTTAGGCAAGAAAGTTATTTCTGATTATTTTAGTTCTTCTGTTTTTTCCTCCCAGCTTTTAATTTCTAGATTGTTTTAAAAGATTTTGTTTCGTTGACTTGCGTTCCACCCTTACACTCTAGGGCAGTCTCACTTTTGTGAGTGTGAAAATCATTTTTGCCTAGCAAAAGCCAAACTTGTCTATGCAAGCAGTGCTCTCATTGAGATTAAATGGGTATGTAGCTATTTCTTTGGGCAATTAGTAATAACTCTGTTTCCCATGTTCACCATGCAGATGGACTGATCACCTTCTTGGTTTGCTAACTATTGCACTATGGAATGCAGTATTCATTCACATAAAGCAACACAAAGTAGCAACTGTGTGTCAGACATAGGAAACTGCTATAGTTTACAATAGGAGTGCTGAAGATGTGTTACTTATACTCAGACTATTTCATATATAGATCTGTGGCATTAACACACAGAATATTTTGGAACAGGAACCTCTGTTCTGGAGAGATGTATTCCTAGTACCCTCATTGATTTTCTTCTGTGTTGTTTATGAGGTAAATGTAAAACTCTGGAAAAGCTTTGCAGATCTTGAAAACCAGTTCCATTGGTTACCTCTGCCTCTCAGTTCCCTAATTTAAGGCACCATTAATTCTTTCTTGCTTGTGGTACTAGCAGTAAAAGTTAACTATTAAACTTGGATTTTAACCTTTTTGCCTCCAGTCAGTGGTCAGTACAAAACTAGCAAATTAAACTGTGGAATGACATGATACCGAGCAAAAGAAAGGTAAATCCTGTGTATCACGTTCTGTGGTATAACATCTGGCATGGCTCAGATAACTTTTTATTTAGAACTTTTTGTCAGGTTACTAGACATTTAAAAGGCTAATTAGTCTCCATCCTTTCTAAACCACAAAGGCCAGATTAATGATTGTTCAAACTGCAACAATATTGTCATAAAAGTGATAGCTATATGGCTGTTCTCTCTTAGAGCTCCTCTT